TTCGCTGCACGTTCGTATCACAACACAACGACGCTTTGTTGTGTGTGTGTGTGTGTGTGTGTGTGTGTCTGTCTGTCTGTCTGTCTGTGTGTGTGAATATTCGCTTGCTCAGTTTCACCACCATCACCACCACCATCACCACCACCATCCCCTCTCCGCCATCACATTTCCATCTCGCCAGTTCGATGAGTCCCGATCTCGCGCTCGCGTGCGAATTCTCCGCGGAGATTGAGACCGATGGCGACGACAATGTGAACAACGCAGCTGCTGGTGGCGCCTTGATCACAGAGGTGCGCATGACGGGAGAGGCGAGTGACAGTGGTGAGTGAGGGGGCAGTGATAGTAGTGGGCTTACGTCTATCAGTGTGCGTGCGTGCGTGTGCATGTGTGCGTGCGTGCGTGTGCATGTGTGCGTGTGTGCATGCGAATGTGGATACCGTCACCATCACCCTTCCATCACCGTACCACCAACACGCATCACTAACGTTCGCCCCTACCAACCCCATCACCATCCCCATCACCATCCCCATCCCCAGGTGCCATGCGGGTGGTGTCGGCTGCCGCTGTATCGAGAGGATGGACGTGCCGTGACGGCGGGGACGCATAGAGTGCAGGTCTTCCCAGGCCCGCTTCAGATCAGCGAGGTCCGTAGTGGGGGAGGGGGGCTGTGGTGTGGCGTGGTTTGATGTCTTGTGGTGTGCTGTGCTGTGTCGTGGAAGTGATGTGTTGAGTTGTGTCGTGTTGTGCTGTGTTGTAATGGCTTTGAATTGTGCCAGCCTTGACACATTCACATCTAACCCTGCCCTCCTCTCCCAAATGCCCCCCTCTCTCTCTTTGTCGTACTCACTGCATTTCACTGCTCCCTCGTGTTTGCGTCGCGCAGATCCGGCGCAGTCTGGGCGAATCGGTCACACACATCGAGATCAAGTGCGTGTGATGCCAGTGAGGAGGAGCTATGCCCTCTTGTCGTTGTTTGCACCTGTGCATACGGCGCTTGCTTGCTGTACTACACTTGCCCATGTTGGCACGCATGCGCGTGTTCAAACACAACCTTATACATATGCAAACACACGCACGCACGCACACATACACACACACACATGTGTCACACCACGTTTCGGCACGTCATGGTAGGGCGTCGAACATCAACAAGAAGGCGCGGCTGCTGTGCGAGCGAATGCCCCGGAACATCATCGTCAAGATGTCGGCGATGCCTGTGCTCTCACTCTACCGCGAAGTCCTCGCACACACGCACCTCGCACACACCGCACCGCAGGTCTGAACTTGCCTGCAGGCAAAGGGTGGAAATGGGGTGTGGTGGTATGTATTCGTGGGGATGTTGGTAGCGATGCTGTCATGCGGGCATGTGTGTGTGTGTGTGTGCGTGTGTGTGTGTGTGTATGGACACATGTGAATGTCTTGTTCACTGTGTTTTGTCTAATCCCACACTGACACCAGTACCGTCAACACCACCGCTACTGCCACACGTCAACAGCGCCAGAATGCAATGCCGCGTGTGTGCAATCCGCTGCTGTCCGGTTTCCCACGTGTTCTCGACAATCCCCACTTGCTCAATCTCTTCAACATGGTCTGGATGGACAGCCTCAAGGTGCGCACACCCATGCTGGTGGTGCTGCTGGTGCTGGTGGTGCTGGTGTCAGTCGTGTGTGTGTGTGTGTGTGTGTGTGTGTGTGTGTGTGTGTGTGTGTGTGTGTGTGTGTGTGTGTGTGTGTGTGTGTGTGTTTGCAGCGAACCCCTTCCCCGCCCGTTATAAAACCCACGTTTCACACCCGACCACCACCATCATTGTCATCACCAGTTGCTGAAGAAGCAGCAGAAGAGCGATCGCGCGTTCATCCGCTCCTGGTTCCAGATGATCTTCACGCAGAAGGTACCGCCCATGCCAAACCGTGTCATGTCATGTGCATGTAATGGGACGTGCATGTAATGGGACGTGCACGTATGGATTTGGACGTGTGTCGGTGTGTCTTGCGTCCTCATGTGGTATCGTCCCCCATCGCAACACACGCGCCGTCATCACACCACCATCACACCACCACCGCATTGCACATGACGCGTTGTGTGCCGCTTGCACAGGTGTGGCCGCTGCTGTCTGTCCAGCACGCGTCATCCGCGTTCGCCACGCCGGCGTCCATCGCAGCCGTCGACGACGAAGCCGTCAAGAAGACGCTGTGTGCATTCACGCGCGGGGACTGCGTGAAACCGCTGGTGATGGGTGTTGAGGAGCAAGATGCAGCCGGTGGCGTGTACTTTGAACCCTTTGACACGGCCAGTGTCACGTACACGCACACCAGCGCAGCAGTGTAGCTGAGTGTGTGTGTGTGTGTGTGTGTGTGTGTGTGTGTGTGTGTGTGTGTGTGTGTGTAAGTCTGAGTGTGTGCGCGCCTGTGTCTGTGACTGTGTCTCTGTGTGCGCGTTTGTGTGTCTATGTGCGTCTGTGCATGAGTGCATTCACACACACCTGGATCATGCCCACCCCCACCCCCCTTTCTGTTCTCCTTTCTTCTTCTTTTGTCCACACATGACGAGGCATGACAGCCGACAGCCCATTGTCCATACTTGTTTGTGTGCACGCATGCACGCATGCCATTCTTGTGCTTGATAATGTTTACGAGCCCCTGTTTCACCGATACGGCAATAACAGCAACAAGTCTGTACACAAACACACACACGCACGCATGTGCATGTGTGTAATTTTGTGCAGTGTGCGTGCGTGTGTGCGTGCGTGTGTGCGTGCGTGTGTGCGTGTTGAGTGTGCTTGCAAGCACGTCACGGAGATACATGATGCATTGCCGTTCGCGCGTCCATCACGCATCTTCGGGCGCCTTGGCGTTCTGCACAGATTCGCACGTGGTGGGAAACGTGTGGCGAGCATGTTGCGGCAAAATGAATGAGGGGAGGGGGGCAGGTGCACGGAGGACAGGAGGAGGACATGGGGACGCAGATAGGAAAGACAAGAACGACACACACACACACACACACACACACACACACACACACACACACACACACACACACACACACACACACACACACACACACACACACACACACACACACGCACACATGCAGCCACCTCGTCGATGGGCAGGCGTCCGTGTGCGATTCCCTTCTCTTGAGCGAGGCGGTGCGTGAGGCCTTTGCAGGAATTGTGGTCCACAAGACCGCCAATGATGTACACGTGGTCCTCCTCCAGATCTGATGAACACAAGCACACAATACGAACACGCAATCGGCACAAAACGCAACCATATACACACACAATGACAAGCACACAATAATCATGTGTTTCAAAGCTGGTTCCGTGAGTGCTGTTCTCTGTATGGTTCGAGTGCGTGCTGGGGCAGCAGTGACAAATATCGAGTGGAAGGAAGACGGAAGGCAATCACGAGTGGAAGCAAAGACGGAAGGCAATCACGAGTGGAAGCAAGACGGAAAGCAACCACAAGTTGAAGCAAGGGGGAGCACCAAGGGCACGCCGCACCTTCAATGATGTTGTCGCTTTCACTGGTCAGATACACAATCTTGCTCCTGTCA